CGCTGATCGGTTGCCCAAGTGCACGGCATGCAAGAAAATTGTGAAGCCGGATATTGTTTTCTTAGGAGAAGACTTGCCCGAGAAGTTCCATAAAAGTTTGGATGGAGACTTCAAGGAGTGCGATCTGCTGATCATCATGGGCAGCTCGCTGGAATTGCATCCGTTTGCAGCTGTGGCGTAGTACCCTGGACCGCGCTGTGTGCGTCTCTTGATCAATCGCGATGCCGTGGGTTGTCCCAAGTTTACCACCTGGATGGAGGACCAAAATAACGACTGTCTGCGGCAGCATCCACTTGGCACTGGGCTCGACACGAACAGCGAGTCATGTATTGACTTAGCGGAGCAGCATTCAAATGCCACTTTCACCCACCTACGTCGAGGCTCTCAGGTACTTTATCCGATTTTGAGATATTAATTAGTATTGATTCAAGTTCATCCCACCGTAGTGTGACCGATGAAAACAGCGCTGGCGCAGCACAGCTCATTGATCAGACGATGAACAGCAGATAGCAGACTGCAGCTCCAGCTCGAAAACATCATCACTTCCGATCTTGTGAACCAAGTACCAAGCGGATGCTGCCGCAGACAGTCGTCATTTTGGTCATCCATCCAGGTGGTAAACTTGGGACGACCCACGGCATCGCGATTGATCAAGAGACGCACACAGCGCGGTCCAGGGTACTGCGCCAAAGCTACAAACGGATGCAATTCTAGCGAGGTGCCCATGATGGTCAGCAGCTCGCACTCCTTGAAGTCTCCATCCAAACTTTTATGGAACTTCTCGGGCAAGTCTTCTCCTAAGAAAACAATATCCGGCTTCACAATTTTCTTGCATGCCGTGCACTTGGGCAGCCGATCAGCGAAGATCTTCTCCTTCATCCAGGCAATGCCGTATTCCATTATACGCTTAATGCAGTAGTTGGTGTGGAAGCTGCCATGGGCCTCGACCAGCTTGTCTTCCGGCACGCCCGCCAGCCGGTCCAGCGTTCGGCCAGTTGTAAGATTTTGAGTGTGTACAATTTTAAATAAATAAAACAAAACTCTACGCCAACTTTAACTTGAAAAATGTGTATCAAAATATCTGTATTGCTTTTAAATGGAGTTTGTAGGGGGAAAACGGTGTAGATAGGCCAATATTAACATGAGAGCTTCTCACGAACATTTCCGAACATTTGTAAACCTTTACAAATTATTGTAAATAATTAATTACATTAACATAAATGAAGCAACACGGAAATTTCAATATTTACATATTTGTAATTATGAGTGTGTACGCCATTGCAGTATCCCTATCCCACTTGATCGCAACCTGAAGACACCCTGGGAACATCAGAGAGAAGGCAAGAAAGCACTCACACAAAATGCAAGATTCCAGAGCAAACCAATTGTATTTTCCATACGGATTTGCATGATTTAAAAGAACATTAAACTTGAACAACGTCGTCAAAAACAACAAGACAGTGCAACAAAAAATCGATAAGATGTTGAAAACAGGACAGGAGCCTTACCAGAACTTTGGTAAAATAAAACCATACATATACACTCCCAATCAGACGAATAGACTCACAAATTTTCGAATTGAAAAAAGTTTCTAAAAATCCAGCTACGAATGATAGTGGAACAAATTTATTTTTCCATTAATCAAGGCTCTTTTCCTTATTTAAAAAGTAAAGAATTTGACTTCTAAGTTAAAAGGTTTTTTTTGTGAACTATTTTGTGTAAATACCCCAAAAATAAGGCCCGTTTAAACGATCATTCGAATAGACTCTATAATGAATATTAGGCTCTAATCTTTCAAAAGCTTTGTAATACATTTTTAATACCCGGTACTCGAAGAGTAAATAGGGTATATTGTATTTGTGGGGAATAACGGTTGTATGTAACGCACAGAAGGAAACGTTTCCGACCCCATAAAGTATATATATATTCTTGATCAGCATCAATAGCCGAGTCGATTGAGCCATGTCTGTCTGTCCGTCTTGTTTGTCGGCTAGTTTTCAGAGACTATAAGAGCTAAAGCCACCAAATTTTGGCTCCAGACTGCTGTATGCTCACATTGTATTTCAAAAATGAGCCACGCCCCCTTCCGCCCCCTCAAAAGGGCGAAAACCTCCCAAATTTTGAAGATAAGAGAAAACTAAAAACGCCATTCCGTAGGGAATAACCATATCTATCAGATCAGCAAATTGGGATCCGATCGGATCATTATTATAGCCAGAATGAAGAAATTAACTTGCAGTGGCTAAACCCACCCTGTCCCGCACCTTTTATTGCTCTTTTTACATTCTCTCATTCACACTCTGCTTCTGCTTCACTCGGCCCCTGCCTCTGCCGTCCCTCTGCATCTTCCTCTACCGACTTTTAACCCACCCCGTCCCGCACCTTATTGTTTTTTTTTGTGTGCGGTAGCTGCCTCTGCCTCTGCCGCGAGTCTGCAGTATGTGGGTCTAAGGAAGGGCGGCGAGCGTGTTGGTGTGAGAAGTGTTGTAGATGTAGATGACAGATGAAGAAAAAATTTAAAATTTGACAAAACACAGCTGAGGTGCAGATGCACTATTGTCCCAATGACCAGTTTTGGTGGCTGTTTACGCCAAATTAGCGCAAAGGGCTTATGGCCGGGAGCATTAGTATTTTGTATAAGTAAAATGCATTTGTACCATTAAGATATTGAATTGTTGCATTTACGACATACTCACAGAAGTTTGTTGCTATAGAACATACATGTAATATGTGATTACGATAGAGAAAGAGGAGGAACATGCATTTAATAGGTGAATATCGAAATTGAAAAGAAGAAGAGATTAAATTAATTTGAATTCCGACTCGGTCGAACCAGCAGCACTTGGCTTTTTATTTCGAGGGTAACAGTGGCCAAAAGCTAATTTTTTAAAGTTAAAACCACGACTCGGTTTTTAACGCTCTGTATTAGAAAAGGAGTGACCATCAAAGTTGCATACCAGAAATTTTCATAGATGGCGCCACTTTCGAAAAATCTGCTGTGAAACCTAGCGGTCATTATTGCACAGAATGTGCAGGGAAAAAGTACCAATTTTACTGCTGTTTTAAATATCTCATAAATTGAAAAATACGATTAACTGATCCAATTTTTTTGATGTATTTTATTTAGTAGGCTTTTTACAAGGTGTTCTGTAATGTGAACGATATCTAGTGGTTGGCGATGTCTTCTACATCTAGATGTAGTCCTG